TATTGTATTTTTGAGTCACACATGCCTTCATACTAGATCTCTCTCCTGCCTCTCCGTCCCTTACAAACGTGACACATGACTTAAGGCTTTTCTTCTGTGGATCTCCCTTACGTGTCCCTGGTAGCTTTCTTGTTCGCTGAGCACTGTTCCAAGCACTTCATATGGAATAAACCTCATTTAATCCTCACAGCAAATGCACGAAGAAAGGCTCACTGTTATCCATATTTTACAAGTGAGGAATATGAAAACGAATTAGTGTGTGTATATGCATGACTGGGACATGGTGCTGGACACCAGAAATTGACACTTGTAACTGACTGTACTTCAATAAAAAGAAATTAGTACATATTTTACAGGTGAGGAAATAGACGCATAAAAAGCCAACCAGCTGAGTGTACACCAGTAAATGACAGAGCTCTGGTCATCTGACTCCAAGACGTATGCCCTTCCATTCTCCATGGCCTCTGTATGCTACTAAAATCAGAAAACTCTAGAAGCAAAATTGGAATCAGAAATGCTACAGTGCATTGGAACGGTTTGTAAGTGAACCCACATTCGAGGTTCATAGCTGTCGCTCCTGCTAACATAGCAACCAGGCCGTTGCTCATGCCAGCAAGTCATTGAGCACCTACTGAATGCAGGATGCTGTGGTCAGTGATTTACAAGAAATGATGTAGATCTTGGCTATGGAGGACTTTTTACCTAGGAGTTTAAAGAACAGAGTCCTCTATGATGATGACCTGTGGCAGACGTGCCAACGGTCATTAGAGGATCATGAAATAAAACACAAAAAAAGAATTCTGAGAAAAGAGGTGTTACTTTTGATTGGTAGCTTGGGGGAACCTACCTTCACTTTAACTAGTTTCAAGATGGAGGATTTAGTCAAGCCCTCTTGAGTCAAGAAAAGAAACGCCACCCCCAGTTTGAAGTTAAGCTGCAAAAATTCATTTCGTTTTCCTGATCTGACCAGACTTCTTGATGCTGTGCCTTGATGAAACATTCGGAACTGGTTGGCAGTGGGACGCAACAGAGCAAGAATGCTGGACTTAGAGCCAAGTCCACAGATTTTGAAGTCATCCAGATAAAGCACCTTTTAACAAGAATCTTGTTTTAATCTGTCATTCCAAAGACTCTAGGAAACAAATTTATGGTTACCGGAGGGAAGGGGATGGGAAGGGATAAACTGAAAAAAAAAAAAACCAAACAAACAGCAAAGGATTCCCGATATGATTTAAAGGACCCCAGACATGTCCCTAGCCATCACCCTCCCCCATCCCTGGTATCCAACATTGTCCCAGTGCCTCAGTGTCACCAAAGCCACTGACACTCAAGATCTTTGGGGGAATATTTGAGAAAAGATTGTGAATGAAGTCGAGGAAGGGACTTTGGAAGACAGGGAACAGGAGATGCTCAAAGCAGGGGCAGAACCTTGGGCTCCCTTCAATTTTGCAAAAGGTAGGGCAAGTATGCAAAAAGCTATCTTGTCTCCTAAACTAATTAGATGATCCTTTTTGTTCCCAAATGTCTCAGATAAAACAGATTCTGAGGAATTCAATAGATATTCCTGGCGAATAGGATGCTTTGGTCAAACAAGTTTGGGAAAAACCTGAGCTTATGAAGCGTGCTCACCAAGTGAAACCAT